TTATTGAACTCCGTGAGGTTCCTGCTGGCCCATTTTCCCGCTTGTTGAGGCCTCTCTGGCATATCTACCATTCCTCACCCTCCAACTTGTTGTCACCCATGAGCTTGTGGAGGCTGCACTCTGTCCCAATATCAGGTCATTAATTAATATCTACCTTGACCAATATAGTGCAGGTGCAGCAGGGCTTGGCCCTTCACTTCTCTGCCATTCCCTGGAAGAAGCCTTGGTAAAAACCCATGTAGAAAGGAGATGAATTAAGGCAGGATTGGGAAGGAAAAAAAAAAAAAACACAAAAAAACCCAAAAAGCCGATCAAGACTGAAACAATCTACACCAGTCTTTAATCATTCTTGCATTCAGTCCAGGATTGACTAATTAATGAGTGCTCTAGGCCCTGGCAGCACATTTCTTATTGGAAAGAATTACTGTAAATGCGAAAAGGGCCAGGGAGTAGTTTAGTCTCTGAGATGCTCCCCACCCTGGTCTGCTCAGAGTGACTTTTGCTTTCTGGCAGCTGCCTGCACGCCAAATGTTTTCCCAATAACTGTCAGCATCCTGCCTGCACGTCAGCTGGGCGCCAGCTGCTGGGGAGGTGAAGGGGGACATTATTCATCTGGGACATCAGTAAACCCCGAAGAGAGAAGCAGGCCTCTGGGCAGCTGTTTAGCAGCAGGAGCTGAGGTAGAAGAAACTGTGAATAAATACATAAATAGGAACACCTCAAATTCTCTTCTTTTTTTTAGCCTCTGCTCAAAAAACAAAAAGGAGGGGGACAGGCAGGTGAGAAGAGGGGAGATATTAGTGAAAGATGACAGTAAATCATCCCCCATGTGGGAATCATTTCTCGGTTTCTAAGTATTTACTGGAGGTGTTAAGTCACGTTGTATGTAACTGCAGATTGCCAGGGTCTACCCAATTTGACACCATGTCCCAGTCCATTATCCCTTCAGGGTATTTAGGTAAGGGAAGTGGTCATTTGGCATGTTGGTGTTTTGCTGAAAACGCACTTTTAAAAGCTTACACGCTGTTACACACACGTCTCCATTACATTTACAGATTTCCATGCCATCAACAGAAAAAATATTGCCCAAATGTTGCTCAGTGTTAAATATATAGCACATATTGTACTACACCGTGTGGCACAATCTGTGAATCTTGGAAGAATTGTGCTCTCAACATATTTTTCCATCTGGCTTTTAGAAACTTAAACTCTCCAAATCAGTTTCTCCCATTTTTTTTCTCCCACCTAGATCTTCATAGAAATTTTTAGAATTTTGGTTTGGAAGCAACAAAAAAATAGAACAAGACATTCTAAAAAAGACCTCAGCTAGATCACGAGTTAAATTAAAAAAGACACGGACTAGACAGAGCCTAGGGTTCCTCTTTGAAACAAGCTTCTTGGAAGACGAGAATCTGGAAAGTGACCTACTGACTACTGATATGTCCTACATCAGTGTCCAGGGAGAGCAGCGACTCTCATGACCTCCCTGGATATTCTCCCTGTAGAAGAACTGCAAGAAATCACCAACTCTTGTGAATGACTAGCCCTCAAGGGACAAGGAAATATCCATCTCATAGCAATGTGCAGCTACTGTGTGGTGAGAAAGCACAGCCTCTGTAGGTTAGAAAACTCACGTGCCTCTTCCAGGGAGCAGCTTGTCAGCAGCCCTGTGGGGTGGGTGAACCCACCACGATGGGAAAAGGCGCAGTAGGAATGGGACAGTATCCTCACTGGGCTTTAAAGAGTCTTGCATCCTGGAGCCAGCAGACCTTTTTTAGCCAGAGTACGCGTCTTCTGGGATCTGCAAGCTCTGAATAGCAGGAAACACAGCAGAGAAGGACCTGGGGGTGCTGGTTGACAGCTGATTGAACATGAGCCAGCAGTGTGCCCAAGCAGCCAAGAAAGCCAACGGAATCCTCCTGGCATGTATCAAAAACAGTGTGGCCAGTAGGAGCAGGGTAGTGATTGTCCCCCTATACTTAGCACTGGTGAGGCCACACCTTGAGTACTGTGTCCAGTTTTGGGCCCCTCACTTCAAGAAGGATGTTGAGGTGCTGGAGCGGGTTCAGAGAAGGACAACAAAACTAGTGAAGGGTTTAGAGAACTTGTCCTATGAGGAGCGGCTGAGGGAGCTGGGACTGTTTAGTCTGGAGAAGAGGAGGTTCAGGGGGGACCTTATCGCTCTCTACAATTGCCTGAAAGGAAGTTGTAGGGAGATGGGGGTCGGTCTCTTCTCCCACCTTATGAATGACAGGACAAGAAGGAATGGCCTCAAGTTGTGCCAGGGGAAATTTAGGTTAGATATCAGGAAAAATTTCTTTACAGAGAGGGTTGTGAAGTATTTGAACAGGCTGCCCAGGGAGGGGGGGGAGTCCCCATCCCTGGAGGTGTTTAAAAACCGTGTAGATTTGGTGTTGAGCAATATGGTTTAGGGACCCTGGCAGTGCAGGGTGAATGGTTGGACTTGATGATCTTGAAGGTCTCTTCCAACCCGACAATTCTATGATTCTATGAAACCACCTGCTGCCAGGCTGGTCAGTTTCTTCGCCGCTCCCTCCATGTAAAAGGATTTGCTTCCTCATGCTGTGATTGTACTGCAGCTTGTGGTGCAAAAACATGTTTTGGGAAAAAAGCACTTTCAGGTCCTCATCTATTTGGGATGGTGATTCACCAGGCTGCTGTCCTGGTATTGGAGTGCAGAGCATAGCATCATAGAATTGTAGAATCATAGAATAGTTTGGGTTGGAAGGTATCTTCAAGATCATCCAGTTCCCTGCCGTGGGCAGGGACACCTTCCACTAGATCAGGTTGCTCAAACCTTATCCAACCTGGCCTTGAACACCTCCAAGTATAAGCATTGAATCAGCTGAAATCAATGGGAAAGTCAATGTTAATTACAGGAATTAATGAGCTTGTATGGAGGAATCAGAGCATTCAGTGGCACCACCACAGTTGCAAGTGACAGAGGTATATCAGCCAGGGTGAGACATACACTTATATAGACTGGCCAAATTCTTGCAAGGCCTGCAGGACTAAACACTGCCCCACAGCGGAGATCCTTCCCATAGCAAGGGTTTGTCCACGGCGCTCAGCTCCTTTTTGATTTGCTGTCAGTTTTGTCACCCCTCCCCACTTGCCAGGGCCATTGCTTCACACCTCATTGAGTGTCCTCCTCATTTCACATCCTGGGCATCTCCTGGTCCATCAGCTGTCGTCTGTGCTGTGGTATTACAGTGATTTTGCATACCACATTCTAAGTGGTACGGCCACCACTGTGGTAGATTCCATGCAGACACACAAAAATGTACTTTCTCCCCTGAATGATCAGCCTCAATGGCAAAAGACCCAGCTCCACAGGGAGACAGGAGATGAGAGCAGTCTGGTGTATGATTAATTTATGTCCTTAAAAGTCTGAAATGCTACCAAAGACATTAATATTCCCTATGTAAGAAAGCTGTCCAGATTTTCAACATATCCCTGCTTTATTCCCACATCTACTGGAATTAATAGCTGAAGGCTTGTAAAGCCCAAAAGACAAACAGAGGACTGCATTTAATCTAATGCGGAGGCTGAGATCATAGTTTGGGAGCCTAAGTGTTGTCAGGACCTGAGACAGCCCAAATTCACATTTATACTGAGACACTTTTGTAATATTGTGGAAGCATAAATGCACTCAGAGTGAGTGCAGTGCCAGCACCGACGGCCTCTTTGCACTGTGGAAACATTGGTACGAAGAGCCCTTCAGAGATATTAAGACAAGTGAAAATGAAAAGCCCATGCTTTACATCTAACCCCAGTAGAGATGACCCAGCCCAAGAGCTTTCTAAGGTAAATTGGACTCCAGACAGTTCGCTTTGTCTGTGTGTGTGTGGACCTGTGCAAAAGGAAGTTGTGGATGCTCTGGAAGAAGGATGAAGAATCCATCCAAGTGTTTTAAAAACAGGCATCAGCCCACGCTTGTTTTTTCACATTGTTTAGTAGTTCAGCCATTGCACCCAGAAATTACTCCTTTTCTCTGTTGAAGTGGTTGCTATGTCTAAGTTGGTGAGGGATCCTTTGGGATGAATAAGTGCTACCTCTTGCTTCCCATATTTAACGTTTCACTGGGGAAGCTCTGATGCCAATTATACCATAGAAGTGCTGGTATGACAAGGACCAACGTGTGGGAGATTCACCCAGCCAGCCCTGGCTGAGCCCAATGCGGCTCCCGGTGCCCAGCTCATCCCCCTGCACTGTCCTCAGTCAGGGCATGTGTTACGGGGCGCTGAAATAGGAAAGTGCTTGCTAGAGGCTGCACAAGATGCTCCATGGCCAGCTAACCATTTCTTCTAACTTTGAAGAAAATGTGCTGAATAGGCTTATGGAGCCATCACATACCATGGTGGAAGTGGCACAGAAAAAAATGTGCAGTTTTTTAGATTTGTTAGATGATAGTCTCTCTCCCCAGTAGCACATTGCACTGACACTATCAAATCCCTCACCTCATCCTATAGATGCGCAGAACTCAGTAGCTAAAAAAGAGGAGATGGAGACCCAGTTACTGTAAAATTAAACTCTGGGAACACACTTGTTTTAAAAATCAGATCAGTGAAGTAATGCCTGGCTTCAGTTATGTTGTTTGCTAACTTACTTGTAGCTACTTGTTTCAAGATACACAGGACAGTAGTCATGGAAGTCTGTACAATTCCAGTTGCTTGCTCTCTTTAATTGACAATAATGCTTCTACAGCTCTCCTTTCTTTTTTCTTTTTTCTTTTTTAAATTTGCCTGGGGCAATTGGTAAGTGTAGGGCTTCAAGGACTGTTATACCTTCTCATGAGGGGATTCATCTTCCAGGTAAAAGAAGCACAATTCTTTCCTGGTGCAGTTCAGTTCAGTTGGCACAGAGTCAAAAAGAATGCCTTAGCTCCAAGGTGCCAGAAAGGATCAAGGGATCAGCAAAGAAAGAGCTTTGATTTAAATGTGCAATAGGATGTCCTCGGTTTAAGGAAACTAGGAAACCTGCTGCAAAATGACAGAATTTAATAGGCTAATAGATTGTTAGATAGTTTATCAATTCACATGATTTTGAACTGGAGAGAACAGCCCCGTGGTTGCATTATTATTATTATTGTTGTTGTTATAAACGTTTCTTATTTCATTGATTTAAAATCCTCTGGTCTGTAGTTTATTCATTGTCTTTCGACGAAACTGCCAGTGGGATTTCCAAGGACTCTGGGTACTCAAAAACCATGATGAGTATTACGTTTCACCTTCTAGAAATGTTCTGACTTGTGACTGAATATCTCACTTAATAAATAACAGAGGCCTAATAAGTGATGGAAAAAAGACATATATGACCATGTCATCACCGGTGGGGTTGGTGCACACATGTGAGTGGAGGGTGTCCCGTGTGGCTTGTCCCTGTGGCTGGGCACCCTGGTCTGTGGCCAGGGAGGACGTGGCTGTGGGCAGTACAGGGGACCTGGGGTGAGTGGGAGGCCAGCTGTACCCAGGTGGATGGGCTAAGGGGTCTCCACACAGCTCAGCAGCAGTAAGCTCCATAATTCACTTTCTAAAGTGAAGAAGAGTTATTATCTCTGTAACTTCTGAAGTATTGGTAAGAGTTGCTGTGAAAGTTGGCTGGCCTGAGCCCTTCAACTTTCTGAGCTGTGCGGGACAGGGGTACATCAGCACAGGCTATAAACAAATGCTGAGGGCTTGTAAGGACTCTAACAAACCATGGACAACATACATCATATAAATTGAGTATCCAGACAAGCATGTATTTGCCAAATCCACCTCCCACCATACAAATGTATGTGTCCTTAAACATGCATAGATGAGAACAAAAAAAAATGAACTAATGCCATTCATAAAACCATGCATTTTCATATATAAATAGCCATGCAAAAAGGCTAGCTGCGATACCCGTGTATTTACTGCAAGCAGAAACGTGAACACCATGCCCCAGACACTCTTGTGAAATAAATTTTGTCTTCAGTTTCAGTTTAATAGCTCAAGATCTTTCTGCCAGATGTATGAATGGCTTTGAGAGGAAAGGCATGGGAAGGAAAGTGAAGATGTGATCAACCTAGGAAATGGTTCTCGGGAAACCTTCCAGCGTCGTGAGCAAGCAAACACAAGAGTGCATTAGCATAGCGCGCTGTCTGATGGATGCACCAGTGGCTGGTTCATGGGACATACGCTTTGTTTCACTGAGAAACAGACATTTGTGGGAAGAGAGAAAGCAAATAGATATAACAGACTCAATCTTTAAAGTTTTTAGCAGAGGCTCGTGAAATTGTACCACAGAACGAATGGAGACTTGTGGACATACTAAGAGCTGTCAAGACCTGAAATGAATTGATAGACCACAGTCATAGCTAATTGACAGTGACAAGTGTTGCTTTGCACTCTTCGGACTGGAAATGACATCTTGAGATATTAAACTGAGGCCAGCATGCTCAGAATCATCGTTTTTCAGCTGTTCTAATAATCCCTGTCAAAAATATCTCTGCATGCTATGTTATGTGCCTCTATTTCTGAACTAGAAGCAAACAGACAAAAGCGTTAACTAAATGTGTGAACAATGTTAAATTTGGAGACGCTGTATACACCAAAAAGCACAAAGGAGTTGTACAAAAAGAAGCAGGGAGGCTAGAAAAATGGATTGGGAATAGCAATGATATTTCAACACTAATAAAGAAAACCTATTGTATCAAAGACGAAATGTAAAGTTGGAAGTTGTAATGACAGAAGCTCATAAAGATGTAGGCTTGGGAATAAAAGGGTGAAGGGTCCTATCAGAGCTATGTAAACAGAGGCATTTTACTATCATATACAGATCTGACAACTTATGCTGCTCTTTATACAGCATCAGTAAGAATTCATCTAACATTAAATCCAAATTGCAGGCACTCTGATGTCAGAAAGAAGGGGAATGATGCTTTTGGAAAGTGAATTGGGTGCATGACTGGGGAAGCATTGCTCACAAAGAGTCTGCTTGCAGTAACTGCAATTACGAAGTAATGCTAGCAGGGACAAAAATCCCCATCAAACAGAAATATGGCATTACCTCTAAGATATATCACAATGCAAGGCCGGAGCATTGGGAATCTCCGGAAAAAAAGGTGATATTTTGGAAGCAAATCAGGCTGCGAGGATCAGGATCATGGAAAGGCTTTGTGGCTATCATGAGGGTAGTCCACTGGGATCAGGACCTAGCACAGGCAGGCTAATGACTGCAAGCCATTGTTTAGAATGAAGGTTAATGGACACAGAAGAAAACAAAAATTAAGGGAAAGGAAGATCCATTATCCCTTTTGTTGGGAAACCTTAGACTAAAAAGAAGCTGAAAAGGAGGCATTTGTGGTTGGAAGGAGGGTCTAGATGGGAAGCAATGACTGTATGGCATAATGTGCAACTGAGACTGATATAAAACCACCAGAGTCAGGTCAGTATTTCCACTGCTTCCAGGAAACCTCGAAGTCATTGGAACTGCATTGCCCTAGTTTAGATGCTGGTCAGACCCTGAGGTCATGCTGCTTGCTCCCACATCGCTCCCAGAAAGCCTGATTTTTGAGAAAAGCTGGTGCTTCTCACCTGACCACCTTAGTGCCGTTCCTCATGACTTGCATGTCCACCATGCAGCCACCCGTGACGTAAGCAGCCAGGTTCAGCTCGGAGAACTCAGCCTGGAGTGGAGCAAAAGGACAGAGCGTTATTCGAGCACAGCAGAGGCACAAACAGGGACACGTATGCGGAATAGTCTTTGACTGGAAAGTGCCCTCCCTTATTTTTATTTTATTTTTTTCTGTGAGGCAATAGGAGATTCAATTACAGCTAATTTGCCATGGAGAGACTGCAGAAATGTTTACGGCTCCCACAGTTGGGGTGTACAAGTATACAGGATTAGGCTTATTGCAATAGTAAGTACTGCAGGAATTAAGAACGAGCAAGCTGAAAAACGCATACAGGAAAGAATAATAATAATAAAAATAGGTAAGGTCATTTGAACTCAAATTTCAAGTTCCCACTTAGAAACATCCATTTAGAGTTATGTCTGAGTCGGCTGCCGTGCCACTGGCCAGCTATAAAGCTAAAACAAAAGATTTAAATCTTCCTAAATAGCTAAAAAGCCTTATTATGCTGCAGGAAAGCGATAAGCAGAGAAACCCACCTGATGTAGTTTGCTTATTAAGATTTTTACTATTAAAGGGTTAGCAAAGCTGGATAGGCTATTAACAGTACTGCTCAATTACTAAAACACTTTATCTTTTAAAGTGGCTCTGCTGTCCCTTAGAGTGGAGGGCCAGCCAGACTCGATGGTCTCAGGCCACTCTCCGCAGGAGGAGGACGGCAGGATTAGCTGATCAGTGCTCGACTTGGGCTCCAAATCATAACTCTGTCCTTTATGAGCAAACGAGTAAACTCCAGACTAGAATAGTCTATTATTGTGCCACACCAGTCCTCCTTTTCCAGCATGATGCAAACATACCTATACGGATTCAGAATCCTATATTAAGTTAGTACCTGTGTATATAATCAGGTTACAGCTTTCTAGATAGAAAATTTAGTCTTCTTCCTTTAAGCAGCTTTTTTTTCCTCTTCCTATTAATGCATTTCTTTCAGACTTAATATGACGGAGATCGGGCAGCAGTAAAATCATCTTCTAACCAGTGGCTACCTAATATCAGAGCACTCAGATGGTGCTGCTAATGCTTGTGATTTTATTGATATTCTTTCAGTATTTAATATTCTTCTGATACTTCTACAAGCTGGAACCAAAAGACAGTGCCAGGAACAACTTTTATACCAAAAAAACCCAAACCCCAAAATGAAAAAAACCTCCATGTTTTGTCCTCATGAACGCATGGAAAAAACTCGCCAATGGAGAACTAGTGCACCTGTAAAGGCTCAGAGGCCAGACGACAAAAGAAAAAATCACTTCCAACTTTCTTTTTTTAAAATCCACATAATTTTAAAGCACTGACCGTGGACTGGTGACCCAATGATGTAATGAGATTTCATGTCTGCGGCCCTGTGTAAACTTTTTAAAGCAACACCCTTACATGATCTTACATCATTGTAACTCCCAATTACAATGAAAGGAGGAGGAAAATTCCTGTTGCCAAGAAATAAATCCTACTTCAAACACATGTACACACACACAGGGAACAGCAGTGGTTCAGGTGACTGGCCGGGCTTTTCTTATGAGATTGTGCAGTGCTGCCTTGGCCACAGTCATGCTTCTTCAGTGGTTGTATTGGATCAGAGATAAGAAAATATGTACCTCTAAAAGGTGCCTGCATTTTATACGTTTAAAAAATCTCAGTAGAAGTAGGGAGGAGGTAGTCCACCTTGCACAAGTTCAGGAAGAGCAGATGCTCGGGGTACCATCAGTGAGCTCTCCAGTGCTCACAAGCAGTAAGCTTGCTAGCTTACATGTGGGCTTGAGAGGCTCCATGGACTGGGGAGATGAAAGGATGGTTTTCCCACCTCTGTGTCTCGGTATGCCTCACAGATGACCCACTCTGAAAGCAGAACGTTAACTAAGCTGGACCTTCAGCTTCTACAACTGAAGGATGCATCATCTGATGTGAACACCAGAGCAAGAGAGGAAAGTTTTAGGTCTGTGTTTTCATGGTTTTTACGTTTTTCTTCTGTAATTTTTTCCATAATGGTGTTGGGCTAAAGAGCTTAACACTTGGCTTTGCTGGGGGTGCAAACGGGCAATCTTCATTTGATGACTGGCACTTACAATCTAACTAAGTCAGTCTGACAGGCATTGCCTGGGGCAGTCAGACCAAACAAAGCTGCCTTCAGACACCTGACACACAAATAGGCCTGGGAATCCCCCAAGCTGGTAAATACTTCATACCAAACTGCCAGGACCAATTTCAGGCCTGCTAATGTCAAGAGCCAGAAGAAAGAGAGAAATCTGCTTTGGCAACCATCGTCCAGGGCACCCTGGCAAGGAGGGAGGAGTGGAGAGAGGGTCTGTGGTACTCAGCTGTCTCGCTCCCAAAGCATCCAGATACGCAATCACAGCTGAGGGACAATCCTAATCTTTTCCTGGCATTCACTCCCGCTTTAACGGACTGAGTTAAGGGTGGCTGCTGCTTTCATGTAGCTGCTTTGTCCCATCTGACAGGCCGCTGCTGGCTGGCGTTTGGAAGAAGGCTGAAAGCTTCAGTCAGCAGAAATTGTTTCCTGTTGATTTTCCAGGGCTCCCTGTATTTTTAACTTTGTGGGTTTTGCAGCCTGATGACTTCCCTTGGCTGGGATTTCAAGTCTGAGATCATCTCCAGCCTGAGTTTACCTTGCAGACAAAGAGGTCTTTGAAAGCCCATGCCGACAGAGCGACAGGTAGCGATGCGTGGAACTGGAGAGCCCAGCTCCCCGCGCAGCCTCGCGGAGCTGCTTGCGTTAGGACTCGACGAACAGAAGGCGGCATTACATTATTCTGACGGCGTTTTATACTTGCTTTGCAGTGGTGCCAGTGGCTGCAAAACCATTTAGGGCAAGAGTGAGCCACGTGTGACAAACATGACACAATCCATCTCGAGAAATAACGTAATACGGGCAGTGGGAGTAGAAATATTTTGTACCTCTGGGAGGCCCAGATCTGGGAGGATGCCCACAGGTATTTTGAGGATAGTTCTGTTAAAAATGCCTATTCCAGGTATTCAGTTTCAGAAATCCCTCCAGTTCATTTGGAGTAAATCTTAAGCTACTTTCAGTTTTCTCTGGCTACTGAACATCTTTTTGGTGAGCTATTTTAGAGTTTCTGTTTCTGTTAGTTGTCATTGTAAATTATGTGACAGTAGAAATGCCTGGCTTGGTAGCCATACCTTTTAATACTTCATGGGAGGCACATGTTCAAGGTGGATTTTAAGCATTTTTCACAGAATAACAGAAAATTGGGTTGGAAGGACTCGAAGACATCACCTAGTCTGTCTCTTTTTTCTAAGGCAGGATCAGCTTTACCTCTGCGGTTGTGTGCAGATACTACATAACCTTCTTGTATCTTCCACAGATGAGGAACCTCCTCAGGCAATCTGCTTTAACAGCCTTGGAAAGTTTTCCCAATGTCCAACCTAAATCTCTCACCTTACTTTTTAACACTGTAATTTTTTTTGTCCACTACCTCCTCTTGCAGAACCTGAAAACTTACTGCTTGAAGACTTACCCTTCCTTCCCTTCCTTCCTTTTTTTTTTTTTTGCGTAGACAAAACCAACCCCATTCTTGTAAGGTTTTCTTGTAGGTGATGTTTTTTAGCACAGTGATCAACGCTGTTGCTGTCACTGGGATCCTCTCTGACAGATCTGCAAATTTCTAGAGTTGTAACAGCCCAAACTCACTATGATCCTTCAGCAGATACCTGACCATTGTTGAGTAAGATGTAAGGCCACTCACCTTACATACAATGCTGCTGTCCATATATTCCAGTATGGATTTGTTGTAAGTGCAGCAACGTGACTATTTTTTAACTCATCCTGGATGAGATCCACTGTAACCCTTGTGTTGCTTTGTCCAGGCTACTGACTTGTCTTCAGTTCCCTGTCTTGAGCATCTGCCATTGATGACAGAAGCATAAGGGGGAGATTTGTCAATGTCTATAAAAACTTGGTGAGAGGTAGTAAAGAAGATAGAGCTGTATTCTTCTCAGTGGTGCCCAGGGAAAGGACAAGGGGCAACGGGCACAAAACTAAACACACCAAATTCCATGTAAACACAAGAAAACACCCTTTTCACTGTAATGATGGTCAAACACTGGAACAGGTTGCCCAGAGAGGCTATGGAGTTTCTATCCCAGGAGATATTAAAACCTTTATTGGTCATGATCTTGGGCAGTCTGCTGTAGGTGAACTTACTCAGAGTAGGATATTGGACTATGGGATATCCACATGTGCCTTACGGCCTCAACCGTCCTGTGCTAAGTTTGGTATCTGGCAGATGTCCTTATTAAACTTCTCCTTGAATGTCAAGGGGGAACCTCAGGAAAGCATACAAGTTTGCCCCTTGAGCAGATGCTGAGGGTCAGTTCATCTTCATTGTGGCGCAGAAATGCAGGAATAGGGATGCAAGACAGGTTTTTGGGTTTGTGTTTCGGGGGTATGGTGGCTGATTTTTTTATTTTTTAAAGCAAGCAGGCGTAGTGTGTCTATGCAGTAATGAGCACATTGAGGTTTTTTTTGAGCTACTGAGCTTTCTAAGCTCTCATCTGTACATAACCTAAATAAAAGCTACTCAGACTGGTTATTGCTTAAAAGAGACACAAAGTCACAAAGTTGTATTAGACATTTGTGTGAATATTTGCATACATACCCCCATTTACATATATACCTCACATACACATAAACAGCCGAGAGGGTTTTAGCACTGCCAGGGAACCTTCGCGCTTTCCTCAGCGCAGCGCGCCATGTGCTGTAACACACACACTGGCATTTCGAGGGGTTATCTCATCACATAAATCACAGCACCGAGCTACCACTACAGTATGCAGCTTTCCATAAGGCAACGCAGAGCACTCACATCAGGATCCTAAGGATGAGTTTGGTGGTGAACTCCTCTCACCCACAGTGGCTTGTGGTGCGGGAGCCACAAACGGCTTGCAGGGCACTAGGTCTCTTGTGTGGCCGGAGCTCTCCAGTCTCTATGTCTCCTTTGGCTCTCCCCTACCCACTGATA